TAAAAACTTACCGAACTGTACACTTTAAATGTGAAGTTTATGGTATGCTAATTATACGTCAATAAAACTCTTTTAAAAAAGGGCCAAGTACCAATGGATTTTATTTCTTTCACAGGTTCTTTTTAAAATGCTATATCACCAGGGCCCCTGATGATTTGCAGAAATGAACTGAGTAAAAAATGATTTTAAAAAGAGTTGATGTTTGAGAAAAAGTTATATTTTGGTTTTACTTATAAATTGATTTCAGCTTTATTTTCCTTTATTTGTATACACAAGAGCAATATATGATAAAATATGTCTAAATATAAAATAGATCTTTTAAGAACGATGAAGTAAAACTCTAAGTGGTTGGAAAGCACTGTGTCATGGTTTCTTAGTTTCAACGGCAGCTTTTTTTTTTCTTTCTTAGTGACACATAAGATAATGGTGCATCTTTCAATCAGTGATGTCTTAGACTCAAAGAAATGCGGTACAGTATATCTATAATCAGACCACTTCTCATTATGTCCACAGCTACTGGTGCAGTCCAAGCCATCATCATCCCTAGCCTGGCTAACTGTATAATAGCATCCCCACTGCTGTCTGTGCTTAGTATAGTAGACAGAGTGATCCTTTTAAAAAGTAAATCAGATCCCTTGAGGCTCTGATTCGAGCGGGGAGGGCGAGCATGGGCAATATATGTAACCTTAACACTTGTACCCCCATAATATGCTAAAATAAAAAAATACTAAAAATAAATAGAAAAGCTTCATAGAAAAATAAATAAATAAAAAGTAAATCAGATCAAGTTATTCCTCTACTCAAAATCCGCCAATGACTTCTCATCTCATTCAGACTAAGATCCAAAGTCCTTACAAAACCCTACACCATCTGTGCCACTCTTTACCTTGCCTGTCAACCTTCCTGCCTTCCTCCTTCCCTCTAGTCTTTCTGAAACTCACTTTGCTTTGGTCACACTGGCTTCTTTCATCCTGAAATGTGTCACAAATGCAAATACCTCAGGACCTTTGCACTTTCCCACTTTCTCTCCCTCCGTCCCGCCTGTCTCTTGTCTCTCCTCCCTCCTCCTCCCTCCCTCCGTCCCTCCCTCCCCCGTCCCTGCCCTCGCTCGCCTCCGCCTCCCTCCCTCCTCCCTTCCTCTCTCTTCCTTCCTTCCTTCCTTCCTTCCTTCCTTCCTTCCTTCCTTCCTTCTTAGATTCTCTTACCCCTAACTTTTGCATGGTGTCCTTTCTTATCTCCCTCAGATTCTTGCTCAAATGCCATGTTCTCAGTGAGTCTTCTCCTTACTAATCTAATGAAAATTGCAACTCCCCTCCAATATCCTTGGCTGCCAGCTCACACCCATTTTTTGTTCTTTTCCCCTGATTTTTCCATGGCTTCTATCACCATATCACACACACACACACACACACACACATAATTTAGTTACATGTTTGTCTGTCTGTCCCTCAGACTAGTATGTGAGTCCCATGAGAAAAGATGGATTTTGTCTGTTTTGCTCTTTGCTGTGTTTCCAGCACCTAGAAAAGTTCCTCAGGACGTAGCAGGTGCCCAATAACTTTTTGCCATCGAATGAATAAATATATATAGCCTTGAGTGGCTTGTGAGTATAGCCTGAAGCAGCCAGGGGCATGGTAAGAATTTCTTTAATGTTTTGTGCTTTTTCTAAAATACCCATATGTATGTTGTACTTTATAATATAGAGGCCTGTGTTTTATTATAAACATACTATACTTCAAAATCTTTGAGCCAGAATGATAGTCCGGGAATATGTTTACCCATATGCATTATATATCAGCACAAGCCACAGTCTCAGAGGCACATCCTTAAGTATTAGGAACTTCATCTTATCTTGACATAAATTAGTTTATCTGGCCCTTGCCACTCACGGAGTCGGGGAGAGAGCTTGAGGATACCCAGGTGATTTCAAAACATGCAGAAACATATGAGAGATCTGCAAAGCTAGAGATACCAAATAGATAACCAATAGGCTGGCTCTAGGTCTAAGAATAGTCTCAGTATACTTGGAAAATACATAATATAGTACAAGTCAATAAAGCTTGCAAGAAAATGAGTCTAAATTTCAAAAATCAAAAGCAAGGTAATGTTAGCTATATTTCACTCTTCTTTGGGCTACGTAAGTCGAGAAGTGACCAGAAAAAAATAGAAAGACCGAATGCTCTCAGTGGGCAGTCTTTTCCTTTATAAAAAGGAAAAGAGTGCCTTGATCTTGCTCTATTTCCATGGCCTGTATTTGTTAGGCAATTATAAGGCCTTTTAATTAAAAAAATTGTTTTTAAAAATTTACCAGCAAATGGCAGCCATTTGATAAATTTCTCCGACTTCTCTTTTTCCTTCTGGCACATTCTACCATGGTCTTTCTCCACCCCCCTGTCTTTTCTGTGTTCCCCTGAGGCTTGATAACATAGAGAAAAACTTGGATCTAAGTTCAGAAAGAAAATGAGTTCAATGTGGGGAATCTGAGTGCTAGGAGTTCGGAAAGAGCATGTGGCTAAGCTTACGGTGTGTTTTGGCAGAACACGGGGGAGAGATTTGGCAGAACTTCCCCAGGGGTGGAGAACTGCTCACCTGGCCAGTGCACCGGCCCCACAGAGCAGCCTAATCTTCCCTGCCAGTGAGTTGCCTTGCAGTCTGTAAATATAGGATGGAAGATTCTTCTAGGGTGGAGAAAACCTAAGCGAGGCAGTTTGTTCAGCATCTGCTATAGATTGTGGTGAGGTGTATGCATATGCTGGGCTTTATTGATATAAATCATCTTGTCAGGAGGCATCATCAGCACTAAGGTAAACGAATCAATTGCATATTGTCATTATGTATAATCATCAGGTTGTGTATTAGAATACACAATTTACACATTGTCGGTCTTGAATAGAGCACTTTCCATTGAGGTATTTATTTGCAGACCTGGAGATGACATATAGCTCTTTATTGGCTTCACTTTGCTCCTTCAGAGCTTCTCTACCTTTGTTCCCATGACCGGACCCCAGAGGTCATGAGTCACTCCCTACTAGGAGGGTAAAAGGAGTATCTGAGCAGAATGCTCTGGCTCCTCTATGAGAACAGGAAGATGGGGGATTATGACTAAAGAAAGTTTTCCACCATTGCAAACATGCTCTTAGACATTACTATACAGCAGTTACTACACAAATGCATGGCATCCTCTTTGGTGCCTAATAGTAATTCCTAGATAAAGAGCACTGATTCAATTATGGGACAGAAATAATTCGAAAGATTTTAACTTTCTTAGCATTCCTTAAAGAGTTCTGTTAAGAGTGATCTTTTAAATGCAAGTTTTTTCAAATATCCAACCATGCAGAGATTTACAAAAGAATTACGCCTCTATCCATTTCTGGTTTCCATCTTCCAAGTTCTTTAATTTTTCATCTTATAGAAGAAGCTACCAACACACATGACCAGTGAAAAATCTGGCCTGAATGTACTATATCAGTGTCTAAGTTACCTCATCCTTCATTCTATCTGCCAGAGTCTTTTAACTTTTTTATTTTTTGCAGAATCACAGCTTTCACTGCCTCCAGGGGAGTTAGAATGTGGAGAGTTCTCTAAACTGGCACCTCCAATTTTTCATGTGTTTAAAAGGCGCTAGTCTTTCTTCCTGCCCCCTCTTCTTCTCTCGAGCCTAGTCCTTTGGCAAGCTGCCTTTTCATGACTTCTCTGAGTAGTTCTGTCGTGCACACCAGAGTGACTGCATTTGCCGTTCTTCTTGGCCTACAAGGCCGTTTAAAGCCACAACTGCCCTCCCCCATACATCAATTGTTTTCCTCCAGCTAGTCAACAAGTAAAGAGAACAAAACCCACACTCAGTAAAGATATTCATTCTCATTTCCCAAGCCAAGGAGACATATAAGAAGAGGTACTCAATCAAGGATCTGTTGAAGGATTGTGGGTAACAGCAAAATCTGGAGACAATATGCCAAGTGAGGCCCAAATAATTCTAAAAATGCATGTCCTTGAGTACAAGGGCTATCTTATTTTCATGTGTCTCCGCTGCAGCGCCTAGAACAGTGACTGCCATAGAGGACAGTGTATTGTACAATGAAACAGATCAATGACCGCACTGTTGGCTCAGGTATCGTGAGAACTTATACCATCTACCCTAGCAGGACCTGACTGGGCAGACATATCTGAGGCACCTTGCCTTGATGCATCTTTCTGCTTTCTAAGTGTCCCATCACAGAGACTGCCAGCAGGGCTGGGAGACAGTCCTGAGGAACGAGTAAGTGCTTAGGCTCTGGAGTCAGACTCTGAACCCAAATCTTGGCTCTATTACTTTAGAGCTATGTGACCCTGAGCAAGTCACATAGCCTGGCTAAGCCTCAGTTATGTCATTCATAATGTGGAGATTAACAGCACCTTGCTCATGAGGTTTAAATGACATGATCGTGTGACATTACCGAAAGTGCATGTATAATAAATACACTTTTTTTTTTTTGCTGGTATAGAGAGATCAGGACACAAAGGTCAATAAAAACCTTCACGTAATCACTGCCCCATATTAGTTCTGAAGGAATCTGTGTCAGTCAGCCCTGACCAAAGGCCACTTTGTAAATGAAATCCATGTGATTTCACAGCGATAGGAGTGGATTTGTGCTGACCATTCTGTTCTCCCTGCTATATTCCGCCAGGCATATCACAAAACACATCAGGCAGGAGCTGGGGTACAGTCTGTCCACGTGGTGGGCAGCAAAGCTCACGTTTGCACAGGGAGTGCCTCTAGACCTGTCACTCTTGCTGTGCCCCAGAAGGAAAGGTTTCCCCCTTAGGATTGCAGCTGCCAATCTGACCCGTCCCATCTAAGCTAACCCACAAGCAGGAACATGAAGCTTTCTACAGCATTTCCAGGTTTGTCTGCATTCTGGTGGAGGTGTTATTCCCTGGCTGCTGAGGGGAGCCAGAGCTAAGCCAAGGGAGAATAACAAATCAACAAATCCACAGATTGCCCCATCTCTGTAATATCTTACATTTGGTTGCGGAGAGCTGGGATTTATACTGCCCTCGGACCAGTCGGCAGGTGGACCCGTCTCCATTGCAGACCCCACAGTTATCTTCCTTGACGGTGCTTCCCAGCTGGTGATCACAGCCAACAATCTAGCAAGAAAGAGAGATGTGTAACTTAACTGGCACCTACGGAGGGAGGGACGCACTGTGAGGCCAATTGCCACCAAATAACCCTCCCTTCCTCCCTGAGGGGCATAAAACATACTTCCCACAAAGAGGACTGAATTCAAATGGAATTTGAACCAAGCTAAGAAAGAAAAAAAATGAAGCATGGGTAAAAATGTTTTCTTTTTTAATTTTTTTTTTTTTTTTTTTGAGATAGAGTCTCATTCTGTTGCCTTGAGTAGAGTGCAGTGGCGTCAGCCTAGCTCACAGCAACCTCAAACTCCTGGGCTCAAGCGATCCTCCTGCCTTAGCCTCCCAAGTAGCTGGGACTATAGGCATGCACCACCATGCCCAGCTAATTTTTTCTATATATTTTTAGTTTTCCAGCTAATTTCTTTCTATTTTTAGTAGAGCCTGCTCCTGCTCAGGCTTGTCTTGACATCCTGAGCTCAAGCAATCCTCGCGCTTCAGCCTCCCAGAGTGCTAGGATTAGAAGTGTGAGCCACTGTGCCCCACCAAAAAAATGTTTTTGTAATTCAAATACATAAACAGAAAGAAGGGTTAAAGAGAGAGAACGAGAAAGAATGGTGGAAAAGTAATATAGAAAGATGAGGAGAAGGTGAGGGAGAATAGAAGATTCTTAATTACTGATATAATAGAACTTTAATTCAATAATAAGTCCCACTATCAACAATTATGATTCACCCAAATGACAAAAAATACAATCCTGAGGTAACAGTAACAGGAAACATTTTATGAATACTCCCCATGTTCTATACATTCCTTAGGCTGTAAGCTGCATGAGGGTGGGAAGTTTGCGTGTTGGGTTCATTGATATATTCTAAGCAACTTGCAAAGTACTTGGTAAATTATAAGACCTCAACAAATATTTGCTGAATGATAATGAAAATACTTTCTTTTCTAGCTTGCACTCCAGCTAAGAAAAGAGAAAGAGAATCAGCAGACAGAAACGACCTTGGCGTATGGGTGTGTGGAGGAGGAGGGTTGGCGTGAGGGCAGCAGAGATTACCAACACAGAGGCCCTGCTATGTGCCTTGCCCTGTTCTGGACCAGGCACAATATATTATAAATATCTCATTCATTCTGAAAACAATCATGAAAGATATCCCCGTTTGATGGTTTAGGCCATGAATCTTGCCCAAGGTCACTTAGCTAATAAGCAGCCAGGTTCTAAATACTTCTAGCAAAACATTAATGCCTCATCCAAATCAGGTTTAACAAAAATCACAAGTTTTTATAAAGTATGTGGGCAATCTTATTTATATCTTTACTCTTTCCTTTCTAATGTCTGAATTTAAAAAAATTCAAATCTAAAATATACCCGGTTATACATCTTACAGTTCTCTTTAGAGCTGACAGCAAAAGACTTATTCCACTGCCGAACTATTTCCATTACTGTCTTTGACAAAATGAGAATGGTGGTGACATTTTGAAGGGGCTTATCTCCACAACATCCCCACAATTCGTCCTGCCTGTCAAAAATCTGGTTGCTAATGTGACCTTTCTTTGAGGCTTGGGGCTTGATTTTTCTTTTCTATTCCTCTTATTAATAATTGCAAACACATGTTTAGGCAAAGGTTTAAAAGATACAATTATTTAGCATTATGTTATCTATGCACTCTATTTTTAAAATGTGGCAATGTGTATTTTTTCATTAAAAGCAAATGAACAGCTTTGTAAAATAGATGACAAAGCAGCAACCCCTTCAACAACTATACATTTTTTGAAATGCAAATTTTATCAGGAAAACATGGTGCTGAACTCCCCAGTGGGGAGCAAAGGCAGGTAGGTTCCATTCCTGTGTGTCCACTGTGGTCAAGCAGCAGTTCACCTCAGCCTGTGCAGATGCTGCAGTGGGGCCACTTCAGAAAGCAACCAACTTTCATCCAGACAGAGACAACCATGTGCTGGCTCAAGACTTCATTGGTGTGTGACATGTAAGTGCAGTAAAATTATTTGCAAAATTCCCATCTGTAGATGGACCCACACACGAGCTGATCAATATTGTATTCCCTCTTATATTCTGAGTACAGCAAGAAATAGGATTATATAAGGACTTATTAACAAAAAAATTCATTTAATTGTTTAAGCAACATTTACTGAGGACCTGCCATGGGCCAGGCACAGTGCTAGGAGCAACGTTCGGCAGTGACTTTAGGCATGGATAGGCCCCTCTTTCTGGGACTTACAGTCTAGTGGTAGAGGCAGGTATTACTCAAATCATCACACCCAATATACGTAAAATTATAATCATGATAAAAGCTATAAAACATAGACATGTGGTATTCTGAGAGCAGGAAATATGGAGAACTTGATTTGGTTAGAAAGGAAAGAGATGACCATCCTGAGGAAGGGTTTTTTGAACTGAGGTATGAATGAGGGGTCAGAGTTAGCAAGCGAAGGGAGTTGTTGTCGTGAGGTTTACCACATCCTTTAGAAATACCTGGATACTAGCTAATGAGACAATAAGCAAAAAACCAAAAGTTGGCAGAACAAAACAAAACACCAATGTCAGAACACTATATCATCTGATTACCGTAGCAGGCTTGAATTCTTTGAGAAAGCATGGAGGTCTTCATTCAGGCAGCATTCAAAGAATTATTGACTCTTACTGTTGTTCAGGATTAAAGAGAGACAGGCTTAACCTGACAAGGTCCTCGGCTAAGTGGAGGTGCCAACATGGCAGCGGGCACAGAAATGTACACTGTCAGGCATCTCAGATGTAACTGGATTTACTCCTTAAACTATAGGCATTTCAGGTTTCTGAAAAGATTTAAGCTTCTGTGGAAAATTTTTAATGGACTCTGATGTCTCTAATGGAGCCAAAGGAGATAATCATGAAAATCTCCCTCTAATCCTAAAGATTTCTTATGGTTCCAAAACCATTTTAAGAAAAGAACAATTCAGCTTCACAGATCCAAAATAATAGTCATATTAGGAATAGCTAAATAGGAGGTGACATACTTTAAGGCTGACTTGGCCAGACCCCCAACTTAGCACTCTCAGTATGGGTTTATGGATCCCAGGATATGAACCAAGTCAGTTCTAACTGGGCTTTGTTTAACTTCAGAGTTTAAAAGACAAACATTTCCCTGACACAATTGTTTTTTTTCCCTCTTCTTTGTATCAATTCCTCTTTAAGATGCCAAAATATTCTAACTCAATTATTTTTAAAATTTGGAATACTTTATTATCAGATAAAATGTTCTTATTTTGGTCCAAGTGGAAAATTTTTTGCAGTTGTATCAGGATAATAATTCTTGATATATCTTAATCTGTTAAGCTTAAATAACTGTTAGATTAATTAAAAATTAAGCTGTTACTTTTAGACCTACTATTAGTAACAGAGAGAAAAATAAATAGCAATACAGAAATGGGCTCACTTTGCACATGCTGTCATTCCTGCCTTGAACACTCTTTCCTAATTCTTTATTTGGCAAACTCCTATTCATCCTTAAAATCCCAAATAAATGTGTCCTACTCAATAAAAGCCTGTCCAGATTATAGAGTTAACTGCTTTATTGCTCTGTGCTTCCTCAGCCTTTTGTTCATACCTCCATTGGCAGAGATTGTTGGTTGCCAACCAATAAACTCCTTCTCCTGTTTTTCTCAGAAACAGATTCCAAGTTTATCTAAGTTAGCATTATATTCAGTTAAAAGAATACATTTCTCATTGGCCACATGACCAAGTTGAAATTAGTGAAATAAAAGCAGAAGTGTCATGTGGGACTTCTGGAAAGGCTACTTAAAAGAAGCTAATGCAGCTGGCCCCCTCAGCTCTCCACCTTCCTGTCACTCCAGAAGCCATCTTGAAAATGAGACAATCTTGAGAATAGAGGCCTAGTTGCACTCAGGATGGCAGCACAGAAAGAGAGAAAGATCCTGGTTCCTGAGCTATGTTTGGATTGCTTACATCTTGACTTCTTTTTTGTGAGAGAAAGAAATCCTTTATGTGCTTTTGCCACTATCACTTTGGGGTTTCTTTTATATAAACCCAATTCAAATTGTTATATAACTTATATTGAGTTTAATCTATTAATATGTCTGTCTCCACGCTATATCAGGGGCTATATGAGAACCGGTGTTTTACTAATCTTTGTATTTCTGTTGCTCCACACAGTATTTGACATTTGAGATGCACAAAGAATGCTGGTGAATCAATGAAACACATAACACCAAATGTAATGGTTTACTAACAGTTCTAATGCAGGTTACAGATAGGCAACCTTAGACTGCCATCACTGATGACATACAAGTCTACAAAAAGTGTGCATGTGTGTATGTGCATGTAAGTGTGTTTGTTTGTAACTGTGAGCACAGAGAAGCAGACATACCATAAATGACATCTAGAGGCCAAACCTAAACGTCTTCTCGATGCATGAAGAGAATTAGTGTAAAAGGCTAGTATTTTTAGAGACTATTTCCCAAGTGCACCTACGTTCACCATTAGTGAAGTGTCATGGAAGGCAATGTTGAGGTCACTTAGTTCCCAGACCCACCCCATTCTGGAAAAAACACTAAAGTGAGATAATGACCACTCATAACTTTGGCAACTGCATGGAATTTGTTTTTTGTAAAGGATGAAAAAATAACTGAATATTTTGGCCTAAAGCAGCTTATTAGTATTCGGCCACTAGGTGCTAGCTGGAGGCAGTGGTCTAACCTCATCCCCATCCAAAATGACTGCACAGTGTTGCTTATTTTACAGAATCTTTATGTCAGGTGATCTAAAAAGTGAGAAGCTCGAAGAACAATTTAGAGAAAGGCAAAATAGCACCCTGAGACTTACCAAGATTAATAATTTTTGTTTGTTTGTTTGTTTGTTTGGACACCATGAGAGGATCATCAGTTCTGCTTTTATATTTTAAATGGACATTTTTTTATACCTACTCTTATACACATATACATGCATAAGACATGTAGTCCTTCGTCTTATTTTTGAGTCAAACACACACTTAACACTG